CAGAGCAAGCAGGTTTTGGACAATAGCAGGAAGCATAGTTGGTTTGCCCAAATCCAAGAAAGAAGTGTATTTTAGTGTGCAAAATGAAACAAAACAGCAAGGGGAAAAGTCCCCTGATTTCCATCCTACTGCTTCTGGATCACACCTAGTTGGCATAGCGGCAACAAAACATAACCACATCTGTCTAATCCTATTGCTCATAGCTGTTAAATACCAAATCTCAATCAGCAATTTTAGAGACAGAGCCTTCAATGTTTTTTGTTCCCAATGTTTCACAAGCAGATGGACGGAAATCAGGAGGCACATAGGAAAAGAGAAAGTTAAAATCTCTAAGACCAGTTAAATAAAGTCTGCTGAAAATGACAGCGAAACAGAGACAGCAGCCAAGAAATTGGTTCATGCAGCAAGGAGGACAATGCAGATTAATACAAAATACATAGCCTGTGGTGCTAAACCCATTTTTAGCCAAGAGTGATTTTACCAAGAGGTGCCTCTAACCCCCTAAATCTTAGAAGGGACTCTATCCCTCCTAAGTTGGGCCTCTAACCCAAGGTCATCAAGTGTCCTTGCCTTTTATTAAGAAGGGCCTCTAACCCACTCTGTCTTAAGAGAGGCTCTAACTTCCATAAGTTGGGCCTCTAACCCAATCCCATTCTTTATCCCGGTACACCACTAGTTACCCAAAGTCATCCAATCAGTGCTGCAGTCTATTTCCTTTGGGTTAGCGGGGTTTCTTCAGTATCACTCCTTCCATGGTTCACCAGAAATATGTTACAGGACCCCAACACTTACCCAAAGGTAGCCGTTGAGTCAGGGTTTCTGTACTACAGTCCCATCTGGGTTGCCAGAAATATGTTACAGGAAAGGAGTACTAATCCAGACACCAAGAGAGCATTCTTGGATCTTGTGCAAGAAAGAATTTAGGGCGAGTTCACAGTGCAAAGTAAAAGCAAGTTTATTGAGAAAGTAAAGTGGTGAAAAAACAGCTACTCCATAGACAGAGTAGGAGGTTCCTGAAAGTAAGAAGAGGAACGCATCCACCCTAGGTACAATGCTTGTATATATGGGGAGATGTGCTGTGCTACAACGGTTTGTGATAAACTATTAATTTTCTTAATTACTATATTTTGCAAGAATCAGTATTATTATCTTTAAAGCAAAATTAGGAATTCCTTTTGTTCTCTAGGTATCAGGATATCTGGACACTCCCGAGTCTGGTTCTGTTTAGTAACATTATTAATTTGTTCCCTTAACCTTAAATATCTAGAGGTTAGGAATACCTGACTTTCTGGGATTGCGGCCCAGCAATCCCCAGCCTCATTTTCCTAGCCCTCACTCAAAATGAAGTTGCTCTGGTTTGGACGCCTTTGACAATGGGATTTAAGAAAAGGCCTTAAAAGGGGTGATTGACTAGGGGACATTGATAAGATTTCAGGGAGAAGAAAAATAACTTTTTAAAAAGCTGCCATTTATTGAGTGCTTGCTATGTTTCAGGCATTATGCCAAGCATGGATTAATTCATTTAACCTTCACAGTATTTCTATATCCCCCATTTTACAGATGAGGATGGGAGGATCAGAGTGCTTAAACTACTTGCTAAAGCTCAGATAGGCTGATATGTAGCAGGGGCAGAAGTCAAACCCAAGTCTGCCTGACTATACAGCCCACATCCATTTAACCACTCTCTTGCCTTGAAAATGATCTTATGCTCCGGGACAGAATGACTGAGCTGAATGGAAAAACTGAGTTGGAAAAGAGGATTGGAAAGGGATTCCAAGTATCTCTCTCTTCACTGGTATCAAGGGTGAACACAAACCTGACTCTAAAAACTCGTGAGTGCCCTCTTTCTCCTCTGAGCACACAGGTTCCACTAATTTCCCAGGAATCTGTCCTTCAGTTCTGACAAAGTTAGCACAAGTTTCAAAGAACATAAAGAGAAAATAAAATTTAAGAATTTTTTTCTTCAAGCAACAATTCTGTTTCTATGGAAACATGTAAGGGCAAACTGTAGGAACTACAGCATAGGCAGGCTTCACCACCGCCCTATGAGCTGCAAAGCTCTTTTTGTCTTTCAAACAAAGGAACCCTATGTATTATAAACAAGCCATTATGGTTGGGCAGCTGGTGGATTGTTGGAAAAGAAGAGATTTAACAATGATGGAATTTTAACAGCTTGAATTCAACAGAGTTCCAGGCCATTTAAATTAGTTTATTTAAATCAGGCCTCTCCTTTGATGATTCAAGTTCCTTTGGGGTATTAACATTAGACTCCTCAGTCTCCAACTACAAGCTACCATGAGATGTGATTATTTAGTGGAAAAAAAGGGGCTAAATTTGCCTGGACTGAACTGCAAACTCCCTATGAAAGAGCCAAACCTCAATTAACCAGAAACCCAAAGAAGTGGAGTTCTCAACTAACTGCATCTACTTTTTGCAAAGAAAGTGCCTGATGACAAACAAAGCCAAAACAAACAAACAAAAAAAAATCACACAAATTTAGTACAGTGTGTATGTATGGGGAGGAGCTGGGTAATATGTATAGCCGTATGACTTTGGGCAACTTCTTTATACTCTCGGTTCCTCAATTTCCTCAGCTATATAACATTTGTTAGCAGAATTAAATAAGATAATTGACATAGGGTGTTTCACACAGTACTTGAAACCTAGTAACAGTAAGTCTTAGTATATATTTATCCTCTTTTATTCTATAAGGTCTCCCAAAACCATCTTCCAAGGGATGTTTTTGTGTGAATCTTTATGTAACCCTCACCTTCTCCACCTCTATTTCCAAGAATAGACAGTGATCTCTGTTAGTCTGAACAATGTTTCTGATGCCTAGCAAGGGCTTTCCTTATCACCAAAGATTCTATGACATTACTTTCTGAAGGAGGAAAGAGAGCAGAAACATTTCTAAATATCTGAGAAGGTAAAGCCAAATCAATATTCAGATTCCTTTTCCCTGCATAGTTTTAATCTCACTGACCCGTATTCCCCCAAATCAACTGATCTTTAGCCTGTGTGTAATGTGGACCACATATTTTGTGCCACCTTACCATACTTCCATATGCCAACACAGTATCTATGACAGTATGCTTGCATTAGGCTCATTGCAGAAACTGACTATGTCAAGGCTGGGCATGGTGGCTCACACCTGTAATCCCAACACTTTCGGAGGTCCAGGCAGGCAAATGACTTGAGGTCAGGAGTTAGAGACCAGCCTGGTAAACATGATGAAACCCTGTCTGTACTAAAAATACAAAAGAAAAAAAATTAGCTAGGCTTGGGGGTGCGTGCCTATAATACCAGTTACTCAGGAGGCTGAGGTAGGAGAATCACTTGAACCCAGGAGGCAGAGGTTGCAGTGAGCAGAGATCGCACAACTGCACTCCAGCCTGAGCGACAGAGTGAGTCTTCATCTAGAAAAAAAAAAAAAAAAAGAAAGAAAAGAAACTGACTGTGAAGTTCTCAATATATAACATCATACCCAATTAGGCAATTAATTGGGCAGCACTTCGTAATGATGAAGCCTGAGGCAAAATTCTTCAAAAGGCAACTTGTTTTCTAGTTTCAAACACCCACTGGACACATTTTTTTTTCCTAGTGTTTTACCTCTTTGTTTTTTCAAGTGGCCAAGACCCAGAACTTTCTCTCACACCCATTCACACTGAGGTATAGATGACCAATGACAGTTAAAATTGGATTTAAAATAATAGATGGGAGTTTTCAGGTGAGCTTGCAATATGGCTAAAAGTGTTGCAGGAGATATAAGATATCATACCATGTAAAGTTCCTTCAAACAAAGAGGAAGCAGCCTTACAAGTTCCATTTTTCCAGTGGGAAAACAGGCATAGAGTTACACAAGTTGCTCAGAATTTCTCAGTGAGTCATTCCTACCAATAAGATCTAGAACAAAACTAAATCAGTATGTAGATGATGGCACCTGTTTACCTGATCTTGTATAAGAATTACCAAAATATCTAGCCCAGTGGTCCTCAAGGGCAGTTTCAAATGATAAGTTATATAAGTGATATGTTAAGTCATTTAGAGCCATGAAAATCATAGTTCAGATTTCCTTATAAGTTTTCAAACAGAGAAAATATCCCTGGCAAGATGTACCAGATAGTTACATTTTGATTTGAAAGTCTGGAATACAAAGTGTCTTAGCCTGTTTGTGCTGCTATTACAAAATATCACAGACTGGATAATTTATTTAAAAAAATAGAAATGTATTCCTCGTAGTTCTGGAGTCCGGGAAGTCCAATATCAAGGCACCACAGGGTTGGTGCCTGATCAGGGATCCCGTCTCTCCTTTCTTGATGGCTCTTTGTTGCTACATCCTTAAGAGGGGATGAATGATGTGCCCTCACATAGAAGAAGGGATGGAAAGGCCAAAAAAAAGGGCCCAAGCTAGTTCCCTTCATCTCCTTTATAAGCCACTAATGCATTCATAAGGGCAGAGCCCTCTAACTTAATCATTTCCCCAAAGATTCCACCTCTTAATAGCACCGATGGGAATTTTGTTTCAAAACGTGAATTTTGAGGGACATTCAGACTATAGCAGAAGAAAAACAAGAAATAGTCTGAAGCTGAGACTCCACCTTGTAAGGGAAGCACTAGGCTTGTATGCCTTTCTTTCTTTCTTTCTTTCTTTCTTTCTTTCTTTCTTTCTTTCTTTCTTTCTTTCTTTCTTTCTTTTTTTCCTTCCTTTTTTCCTTGTAGCAACAAGAAAAGGGGCAAGAAAACAACAAAAGAGAGGATTATTTCACAGTTGGCTCCAGACCAACTCTGACCTGAACTCAGGTCTCTGCAAAGTAATTGTTTGCCCACATACTTTCATTCTTTACAAGTTCCCCAAATCCACTTAATTCAGTTAAAAATATCCAGCTGAGTTTCCATCAGTACTCTCTGTGGAAAGAAGATACCAAATGAAAGTGAAACTGTGCATGTCTGGCCCCATGAAGAGTGAAATATTTGGATAACATATTGGACATTTCAAATACCTTCCATTTTCTGCTGAGGCAGCTGACTTGCTGGGAACATGTTCTTTGAGAGCAAAAAGTTAAGCGCTGTATTCCAAATCCTCAGTGGGGCAGTGAGCTTGACAGAACATCAACTAGAGGAAGCCAATTAGCATAGCTTTTACCATGACAACCAGTGCATCTTCCTAAGATATCAGTGGGGTTCACACGCTGAAGGGGGAGAAGAGAGAAGTGTCAGAATGTGCTGACTTTGAAAGACCCCTTTTTGAAATAAGCCAATATTATTCATTTCCTCACAATGTCTAGAAAGGTGAATCATTCCTGTCAATAGCATGACATTCATTTAACTCATGCATGCATAGTTTCTGGATGATAGGAAATATCAGCAAGAGCAGGAATTTGAGGAAAGTACTCTAATTATGTGCAGTTTATAAATCAGCTGGAGCAGGTACATCAGGACACAGATCCAAACACATCTCTGCAAATATCACTCAGCTGAGAAGATGGAGAGATTACTGAAGTTTTAATCCATTAATTAAAAGATATTATCTTCATTCATTCTTCATGAATTACTACCTCAGTTGCTTTGCTATATGAATTTTCCCAATTCAAATGCTCTTCTCCCCACAACCCCGCAACACCAATTCCAAACAACTCAAGCTCCTATCCTTCCATGAAACCTTTTTTCCAAAGAAATTCCAGGACTCACTGATCAGTCTTTTCTCAGAACTTCTACTAGAGAATCTATCCCACATAGTTGAATGTTGGAGTCTATTCTATTTTATACATTACTTAGTGTATTTATGTCATTATTTCCCAATGTGAACATAATTTCTTGAAGAGCTATACCCCCAAAGTACCACACAATATTGAGTTAGGGTAGATACCTAATAACAAATCTACTTGGTGCTTGATTACTTATTACAGAGTTCATAACCTTCATCTAATTTAAGGCTGACTACATGACCTTGAACTTAGTGCATCTATTATTTCACCAGGAAATAAGACTGCCCTTCTATGTTCTCCTTGGAAAATGAAGGAAGGGGGACACCAGTGGGCAGAAATCTGCTTTCACTGTGGATTTCCTCTCTGCATATTGCTAGGATGATGAAGAAGAAAAGCATGAATCATCATTTGCAGTCCAGTCCCAGAAGATATTTATAGCTGATTCTAGAAATAGTGTTTTCACAACTGTATGCCTTAATTCTATTCTTCCTTTTAGACTCATCTTAGATGTCACTTCCTCCATGATTCTGGCTTCATTTTTTCATCCAAAAGGACTCCCATTCTCTTCTGAACTACCAAAGCATTTTATCATTCCTTCTTTTGTGACATATCACCTTCTGCCATATTCTGCTGTATTTATTTATGTCCTTGTTTTCTCTCCCCTAGTAGATATACAGTGACATAATAGGTACACAATACTAGTAATAGCCAACACCTATTGAGTATGTACTGAGTACGTTATATACATTATTTGATTTAATCCTCAAAACAATTCTTTTGAGTTGAATACTATTTACACATCTCAAGTTTACAAATTGGAACCTGAGGCTTTAAAAGATTAAGTAATCTACCAAGGATCATCCAACTAACTAGTAAGTGCCATAGGTAAAATTTGATTTGAGAGCCAATAGTCTTAAACATTATGCTATACTGACTCTTAATAAATGGTGAATGAGGAAAGGAATTGAATGCATTAAATTGCAGAAACTGTCTTACCTGATAAAGCCTTTTCAGACAACTATACTTCTTTAGACTATAACCAATCAAGGGTCTGGTGCTAGCTGTTTGTAAAGAATAACAAAACCCAATGTCAAAAACCAGAGATCAAATTATACACTTTCAATAGCACCTGCTGTTCACCCAAGAAAAGATCGTGGGTTTATGTTTTCACTCTATCCTTGATCTGCAAACTACCGAAAGTTCATATCTGAAAATTTTGCATAACTGCCCAGCAGGAATACACTGGCATTTTGGAACTACCCACACTCTTCAGGCTAGGGGATCAAGCTTGAGCAATGTGAGTTCACCAAGCTCAGCTAAAATTGAATTATGAATTATTTTTCATGAAAATACTGCAATAGAATCCACCAACAATGTTTAATCCTAGAGTCAGCATAAGATGGGCTCCACCTGAATATGCACCACATTCAGTCTCTCAAACAGCATAATTTTCATGGACTCAGTCAAAAGTGGTTAGTGACGTTGGTCAAAAAATACAAAATTTTAGTTAGGAGGAGTAAGTTCAAGAGGTCTATTGTACACCATAGTAACTATGAAAATTGCTAAGAATAGATTTTAAGTGTTCTCACTACAAAAAAAATAGAATGGAAGATAATGCATTTGTTAATTAGTTTCAATTAGCCATTTCACAAAAATGTATACATATTTTGAAACATCATGTTTTACACCATAAATATGTAGAATTTTCACTTGTCAATTTAAAAAATAAATAAAAAGTGGTTAATGACCAAGATTAGGCCTACAAATGTGTAGTTTGGTATAAACAAAAACCATACATCAGCCTTTATCTGAAGTTCTCCATACTGACAGGCACACAGCTGACCATGTAGAATATCCCTCTCCATGGCCAACGTGAATAGGAAAGAATGCACATGCAGCAGAAAATTACTGGATCAAAATATTAATGGTGCCAAAGTTGAGAAAACTTGGTATACAGGCATTCTTCACTTTATGAAAACTCAACAGAACAAAATTCTGAGAGACAAATGCCAATAAATAACAGGTGGTTATTCCCACATCAAAAACCTTTCACCAAAGAGTACTTTCAAGTACCAAAAACTCAATACATTTATGGGTGGTTTATAGATTAATTACAGCTTCTTTCACTTAATAGACATTATTAAAATTTGTATACATTTTGTGCATATTGACCATATATATATCAGTGAAAATTTTAGAAATACAATCCTAGTTAATATACATAAAGCAAACTGTGGATAGAAATCTTCTTGTCAATGATTTCATAATAGAAATAACCACTGTCTCATTTTTGTTTTTTGAACTTAAGTCTTCTTAAAGAAGTCACTTGTAATTGACAGAGAGATGAGCAAGATAAAAATTTAAAGCTAACATGTAATAAACCACTGCCAGTCAAAGATGAAGCCCATCTGAAGTGAAAACCCAAGTTATAAAAGAGAGGGTTTGAATCAACATGTACTTCTCAGGAATTGATCAACTTATAGAATGTGGTGCATCTATAGAGCCAACTTTAATTATCTGATATTGTCTTATTTACCCTATGATTCGTCATTACCTGGATGTTTCAGCCAACATAGTCAATGGGATTGTATGTGTGAAACCTGTGATTTCTACATCAACTGGTCAATCAATGAAGAGAAAAATCAGCCAAATTATCTTTTTGCATTATCTAGTTCCTTGACCTCACCTCAGCTTTCCCCAAACGAATCCACACATAACAGTTATTTGACTGGAATTTTTAATGCTTTATCCACTTGTTTTGATTTTGAATAAACATAGACCCCTCATTCCTGAAACGTCTACTGCCAGAACCACAGCTTTACTTCCTTCTTCTTCAAGATGAATTGTATGTTCTATGTACCTGCTATATGCTCAGCACTGTATATAAAAGGAAGCTTAAGTCTAGCGGCTAAGACAAAGCTCATATATATAAAGCAATTAAAAGATAATTTGTGATAGTATATACTCGAGTTTTAAATTGGGTAGTACAGACTGTGTTATATGAGTTCAGATTATAAACCAACTTACTGAGTTAGAGTTCCCAAGGAGGTTTTTACGAGCTGGATGTGTTGAAATAAAACTAACATGAGTTAAAATTACAACCCCACTATTTCTTAGCTACCTGAATTTGAGCAAGTTACTTAACCTTTCTGAAATCCAGTGTCTGTATCTGTTTTAAAATAAAGATAACAATAATATCTTCCCCATTGGGTTTTTATGAGGATTAATCAAGATAATGAAAGTTAAAGAACTTAGCACAGTGCCTGTCACATTTTACACGGTGGCCACAAGTCCCTGTGTGTGCTAGTTAAGTGTTATCCATATGTTCTCCTCCATTAGATAAATTTTACTTTTTCTTTATTCTCCTTGGATATTTCTTCTTGTTAGTGGTTGGAAATCATTTAAGCAGTATCTGAGAGCTATTTTTGGATCTTCAACTGTTGATAGAGTCCTTATGCATGAGATTATAAAAGAAAAAATTTTCTCAAAAGAGAGATCATTCAGGTAACTTCTATTTAGCATGCATACAGATTTTGTAGTAATTCTTTAAGTAAACATTAAATGTAATCTATTATTTTATTATCACTGGTTTTTTGTGTTTATTCAGAGCAGAAGAAGGGTAGAAGGAGAAAGGGGAAAGAGAAGAGAAGGTGGAGGGGAAAGAAAAGGAAAAGGAGGAATTGGAGAAAGATGAAGAATTACCTACACATAAAAAAAAAAAAAATAGGGAAAGTAATCCAGGCAAAGGGTACAATATAAAAAAAAAAAAAAGACACAAAGGCAAGAATGAATAGGTTGAGCATGGACCAGTCTGATTTGATGACAAGAAACATGTTGGGTGTAGTGAGGCGTCTTTTGATGCACACAGAGAATACCAATAGCTACTTGTTACCAAGGAACAACTTCCCTCTTAGGAAGTCAAAACTTTGAAATACCACATGGAAGCTCCCCTATAATTTCAATTGTTTCCCTTTCTTGGCAGCGCCTTTGAATAAGCCAAATGCCCACTGGTTTTGGAAAGTGCATTCAAGACCTGACAGACTTACCACTAGTCCTGGTCAGTAAACTAATTGCCCCATGTACATCTCCTTAGACCTGAGGTCACTTGCTTTCCACTGCTCTAAAGTGAGGCAGGAAAATAGAGTCTGGAGGCAGGGAACATAAGGCCAATTCACACTTCATCTATGACAGGAAATACCCTCTCCATAGAGCATAGGCCAAGTAAATGAGTTTGTAACTTTACTTCATCCTCTCTATTTACATAGGGTGTACTCCCAAGTAACCAATGGAATTCCCTAGAGGGTGTTTAAACTCCCCAAAATTCTGTAATGGGGCCCTTGAGCCCCTATGCTTGGGCCTGCTCCCACACTGTGCAGTGTACTTTCATTTTCAATAAATTCCTTCATTCTTTCCTTGCTTTGCTTGTACATTTTGTCCAACTATTTGTTCAAGACGCCAAGAACCTGGACCCCTTCCACCATTAACATATTTTGGTGACCCAGCCAGGAGGAAGAAGTAAGCTCAAAGTTTGGGATTCATTTTTCTCCCTTTCCTTTCTGCTCGGTACAGGGGCTTTCTCTCTCTCTTTTCCTTTCCAATTTGGGACTTTTGGTGGGCAGCACCTAAACATGGAGACAACTGCAGGTTTCTGGTCATGGCCAGTGAAACTAAGGGGTTTCCATATGAAGAAGCCTGACTGCCACCACCCAGTTTGCTTAAGGAACCTGGGGCTTTTGGGGTTTTTTTTTCTTTCATTATTATTATTATTATTATTATTATTATTTTGAGACAGAATCTTGCTCTGTCACACAGGCTGGAGTGCAACGGTGCGTTCTCAGCTCACTGCAACCCCCACCTCCCGGGTTCAAATGATTCTCCTGTCTCAGCCTCCAGAGTCCCTTCATTCTATTTCAGTCTTTCAGTGGCTGTTTATAATTGCGCTGCCCCGAAGGTGGAAGGACTTTTTTTTTTTTTTTTTTTTTTTTATCTTTTCCTCGTGTGGTCCCTGGTCCCTATGGGTGGCAGAGCTCGAAGCAAATTTGTACATGTTTCAGGGGACTTAAACCTTCTTTTCCTATGGTAAATTCTTCCCTTATTATACTCAACTGGCTAAGGAATAAAGAGGTACACCCAACATCCAGTTCTCACAACAGTTCATGGCTATTCTTATAAAGTTCATAGTATGCTCTGGAGGGAGAAACCTGTATGTGGTGCTGGTGCCCACCTAATGTCAGAGACATCTGACACTCTAAAATTAGACCCCACAGGAAGATGCTCCAAGTGTTCTGCAAACCTCAACCTGCCCAAAAGGGATGCTCTTGGCAGAGGTTCTGAAGTCTAGTACTAAGCCCCCGCTTAGAATTTTCTCTCATAGCTGCAATGCTGTTTAGCCCCAACATTGTTTGGAATCTGGAGTTTACTGTTGAATGGGAAAGTGGAACGGCATTGCATGTATCCAGGCTTTTGTGCTGCGGTTCTAGGCAGGAGGCCTGGTTAGTGTGTAACACCCTCCTTTTGTACAGTTTGGCCCCACTGCTCTTTGGAGTCTGGGAGGTTCGGCCTTTAAATATCAAACTCCCATGGAGAATGCATTATCCAAAATTTTGGTTCACAGCCTTCATTGGATTATCTACTGGGGCAAAGTAAAACTGGCAAGCTTATATTGTTATCTCATGGATAAGGTTCCAAGCTATTGGATCTTCATTTACTTGTGTGTATACAGGTCTAGATGTGTTTATTTGTATCTACACTTATTGTTATAGGTTGTGTGTACCAAAATTGGCTTACAAGTAAAAGAGCCTCATAAATTAAATAAATAAGTCTAAGCAATTTTCAAGTTCACATGACTTAAAGTATAAGTTTACTAAACAAACTAGCTTTAAAATTATTGGTGGAATAAAAGTAGAAATGCCTTCAGAATTGTCAGCATACATTTTTTCTGAATTGTATGTTTGTCTTTGCTAGATATTTTAAAATGTCAGTGTTAATTCAAGCTGGGAGCTGCTTGGGGCCAGCCTGCCTCTCGTTCTATTCAAAGTCTCACTGAGATAAATGCATATCTGA